AGTTTCCAGTATTTTTGAAGCAAAGACTAATTGAAAGTAACAATATAGTTGTAGCACATGGGAGACAGACCTTTGGTTTGTGGATGTGATGAGAAAAAAATGCAATTTACTGTATGTAACTTGTAAGACAATAATAGCCCCCTTACCATTTGGTGTAATTTCTCGAACTCTGTGTACCTTCTGAAGATGAACCAGCTTTTCCCACCAACAGTCACCACAACTTTGTACACCTGAAGAAAAGTTTTGGGAAATGTATATATTAAAATCACGACACGTTGACACTAAACAACCACTCAGGGTACAACACAAATCAGTACCCTTTTGGTACACCTATTTTTGCTCACTTTCTGTTGAACTGGTTCTTTTTCCAACGTGGTCTACAAGCAAGAAATCATTATCTTCTCTTTTTTTGGTCACTGAAAATATTTGCATTACTTCACAGCTGCAAAAGTTGTCAATTCTGCAACCATGAGAGTCAACAATCTATTGTCTTTGAAAATAATTTAATTTATATATGATTATCAGTGATGTTGGGTGAAGGTTATGGATTATCCTTTTAAAACATGCAGTCAGCTCCAGAATCCTTAATCTAGATGTCTTTATTTTGTCTTATAATCTTTATTTATAATTACATTTATTTTATTGTTACATACTGTGTATCTCTTGTTCTTCTGCCATGTGTCCTCTGCCTGTGTGATCTCTGCCTGGAGCTTGTCTGCCATGGCGATGGTCTATACTGTTGTCACGCTATACAACATCTATCTCTGACCAGGGTCCTCTGATGTCTTTCTGCTGCAATCCTCCAGGTGGCGCTAATGACTCAATCAGCGTCGGGTACACATCATATGATGGATCCGTGAAGACCTGATGTGTGAAAAAAAAGATCTTTTGTTTTGTTAAATGCTCAATCAATTTCTCAAAGCAACTTAATCATCACATTTCAAGGAGTCTTTATTATACAAAATAATGTGACAAACAGTCTTTGACTAATGGTTGCGTGAAAACATATGTCAGTGGTAGTGCCTTGGGAGATAGGACTGTCTAGAGTATAACGTTATTTACAGTATTAAAGCTGCATTATGTAGTTTTTGTGCAAAAAATTCAAATATTCTGAATCTAACAAATCTTGGTTTTATCATCATTTACTATCACTTTTCAACACATTTGCGTCATTATATTACGTTTCCGGCCTATTTTGTTAGCGCAAAAACAGTCCGCTTGATGCGCGCTCAGTTCCCGGTGGCACCGAGTTGATGCCACCGCTGGAACCAAAACAAACAACGGTTTTCGGTCGGAAATGTTCGGTGAGTTCCAGCCGCGTGACGTCATGACTAGCTAGCCCTCTGAAACAAAATAGCGGGAATGGAGGGCGATCGAGATCGGGTGAACCGTGGAGGTAGAAGAAGTTTGCTGACCAGTTCCGCCAGGAAAAGGAAGTAGAAGGACAAGTTCCAAAAGCGGGTGTTGTTGGTATAGCAGTAACCGAAGGAATATAACGCGATCAAAACAAACCCGAGAACCAAAGCCGAAAACCGGCTGTCAGAATCGAATGTCCCGCCCCCGCGTTAGACCACGTGACAAATCTTCGGGCCGGCTCGGGCAGACTCGGGAGTACTCGGACATGTTCGGAAGTAAACAAACATGGCGAACACCCAGGCGCGCGCGTGCGATTTCTCAGTTTTCTAACCGCTCGTATCGCAAAAATATTGTCTCGCGTCCATGAACTGAATGGTGCAGTGTAACACGGTAGGGTTTATTCAACTAGCAATGTAAAGAAATGACCAGAAAATCGACTTTTTGTTTTAAGGTTAGACGGCCAAAAAACTACATAATGCAGCTTTAATACAAATACTGATTTTCGCCTGTAGAAATATCAATTGTACAAAATTACACACATAATGAGTAGAGTAGACTTTATGACACCTTACCTGAACAACATAGCCTAACAACTTGTTACTGTTACTTCAGTTCTAAGAAATTAATGCCAGAACGTCATATTTCTAACACCGTAGAAAATCTCACTTTACAAATCATAATTTGTGTATCATTGTTTACCCAAAACCTTATCGTATTTCCTTTACGCAAGGTTAAACAAAAACAGCTGCTTCTGAAAATTATTTCGTACTTGCAAAATCTACCCCAGAATGAAGCTGAAATTCAACAGGTTGCCTACATTTATAATGTACATGCATTTCTATGGTCAAGTTTTTAATAGCGACTTATGAGAAAGCAAGTTTTAGTTGCCCTTTGGACTGTCACAAATCTAATCCAACCCCACCCCCATCCGACCGGCTTTGACATGACAAGGAAGTCACTTTAAAATCCCAACATTTCAGGACACGTCAACATCTTTTACAGTTCGATACTGGGACGAACAAGCCGCCTGATAACTTCTACTTGTAGCAAACGATCACAAACGCAAGAGAAACACTTACATTTCAATTTGTAAGATCGATGATGAGGACGAAAAGAAAAACTTGTCGGCGTAACCATACGGTACAAGGTTCACGGGTCACAGGTCCAGAGAAAGCTAGCAGACTATTCATCACCACTAGACTATTACGGGAACTAGTCATTTTGTTTCCAGAAAATACCCATTTTGACAGCAATAACCTATCTTTGCAAATTATGTTTCTCTTTTAAAGCTAAAAGTAGCATAACTTTGTTTGGTATTTCCACTTATTTATCTGTTTAGTAAACCAATGTTTGACCAGGTGCGGGTAAACAAAACATCTGCTAGTTTTACAGCAACAAATCTGTCAAGTCAGTAAAAACAATTCCTGATGTCAAAAACGTTTTATTTAAGTAAATACAGACACTTTATGATAAGATATAGCAGAATTGATTTTTTTCAAATATTTCAAAACTTTCCCCAAAAAATTAACCTAGGAATCTATTTTCCCATCATGCTCTGCTCACATATTTGAGAGAAAATGGCGCCGACTCCTGAGGTAAGAACTGTGCTGTCCGACAAAACCTGCATTTTCTAGTCGTTGGTAGCCTATTGTTTGTCCTATTCATCACCCTTAAGTACATAAGGATTCTGTGTTCATCAGTGTTTGCTTTGATTTTGTGTGGGTTGTCGATATACGCAGAAATAGTAAGAATCCAGAGCCACCGAAACTGGCTCACCATTGCCCATACGTAGTTTTGGCGTCGTTTCCATGGGGATAGTATTATTAGCAGCCACGATAACTATAAAATACACGGCAATTCTCCCCTTAAAGTATTACAGGCACGTTACAACAAACCTTCGAAATTGTCATTCGTTGACGGAGTCAAAATGTGATAACCGAAATGGATACCACCTTTATACCACAGAACGTCCTTGGTTACAGCAACCACACACTGATACCAAGGAGAAAGCTCCTTGCTGATACAGAGGATGAACTTTTAAAGAAGACCTAGACTTTCTATATTCCATTCTTACGTAAATTTGTAAAATTTTACAAGATCATGTCATATGCCTCTCCTGTTGTTAACATGGTGGGAGAAGGTTTTCTGTGTGGTATTTATATGTCAAGATATAAAGAGACACCAACGGGTAAATTATGCATGACGACAATTACACTTAATTTAATCTGTATTTTAACTCCATGATTTAAGCATTTTTCCTAAATACATGTGTACTAACTTAGCGCACACGAGAAGAAGATACTAACTGTCAGAGTCACATTTCTCTGGCAAGACTATCTCTATAACTATTATCCCTTTGTGTTCAGAAAAAAAGTTGTGAGTGTGTTTTATAAGACTCTATACATTTTCCTTCACAGGTTACAGTCAGCATTTTATGACCAGGAGTTCTTTATTTAGTCATCAGAGATTCAGACTCAGAGCAAGAAGTTAAGGGGAAAATTGACAGAAACAGTCATTATTAGAAAAAAAAGGAAATATTTAGATGATTAGAAGAGAACCATGTCAGCGGGTTTGAGACAGAAAGTAGGAGCAGGATTGAACTGGGATGAGCTAGAAAAGGTCCAGTTGTACAACAGTGCACCACAGCCTCAGGTTGGTCAGCCCAGCAACACAGAAACAAGACTGTAGCAACCAACATGACTTCAAAGTCCAAGTACTGTACAATGTACTGTAAATTCTCTGTTAGGTCTACGGAAAAAAGTTATCTTTCCTGTTTCCTGATCCCTTAAGAAAAAAACTGCCGACCCTAGCTTTTTTTGTGGATCCCTGCAAGGGACATAAATTTTTCGACCTGATCAATCTTTTCTACATGTACCTCCAAGATCCGACACCTGAGTGATGAAACATTGTGCTATCGGTTTTCCAACATTGACATTGAAAATATGTTCAAAGTGTCCTCATGCAAGTTTTACTTTGTTAAACTGTATTGTATAAGTTGGATCAGTACAGATCGCCAAAGTGAAAAAAAATGATAATCCCTACCTACAGACCCTAAGTTTTTCAGGACTGAAAAAGGAAATATAACATTTTTTCTAGGCCTTAGATTGGAGCAAAAGTTGTTAAAAAGTTGCAGTGACTGAGTAAGTTTATAATTATGGCGTCCACAGTCATTTTGGTTGCTTTAGAAGTCTTGCCTGCAGCGTGCTTACCGGATGGGTGTTTGGACTCTAACATAAATGTTTTCTCTCTAATATCAATGTTGTTCTCCATTGTGTAGGTGGCATTGTGACTGGTATGGACATTTGCCTGCATTTGTGACTGTTTTAAAGTTCTTTGGTTTCTTTTTGTTTTAAGGTTTTGGTTCATGCTACAACTAACCTCCGTTGGAGCAATGTTTTTTTAGGAATTTCTCACTCTGCTTATCAGTATGGTTTATTATTATTTATTACATTGGTTTTTTGGTATTTGTTTATTTATTTTTATTTGTTTGTGCTAACCAAGCATTGCTGTGAGCCCTGCACAACAAAAAAAGTGGTCATCAAGTTGTTGGTTTGGTGTCTAACTCTGTTGGTAACAGACATGACATTCAACTGTTTGGGCTGAGATAGAAATCTGCCCCCTCAATATAGTATATCCTGGCACATGCCATTGATATAGCCTTGTAAAGACCAGAAAATGTTTTGGAATTTTATGTGTCCTACGCCCAGTTAAGCAGCAACTAGATAAACAAATTCAGTGTAGTTATTGTTACAGGTGTATCAGATCAAAATGTACCTCTGGCCAGAATGTACATGGGTACATTGTGCCCTAGGGTCTATTCTGTCCTGCTACACCTGTAATACAAACCTACCTACAAACACACCAATAAAGCTCTTAGGCACACCACTAAAGGAGTTGGAGACCAACAAACAGTATGGATAAACTTCATGGTGAAAGATACATTATGATGTTAGGATGGAACCCCATCTTGACAAAACTTTGCTTTAGCTTTAATCACTGTTTTTTTTTCTTCATTTTCAGGGAGCCATGGATGAAAAAGGCCAAAAAACAACTATATTGTTTGACGCTGCCAAGAGAGAGGTGTTTACTCCAGCTAACGGCTTCAAAAGCCTGAACAGGAAGCTGCGATCTTCGTGGAAAATCACCACGTATGTACAAAAAATCCACCTGTTAGTACAGAGTGGACTATTCATGTGGGTCTCATACCAGCAAAAACCTTGTGGTTTTTATTTTTGGGTGGTCTCATAGCAGCAAAATCTTTCTTTTAGTATCCCTGTGTTTTTGAGTTTTGGGTTGGTCTCATACCAGCAAAATCTTTTCTATGGTACCCTTATGGTAATACTTTGCAGGTCTCATACCAGCAAAATTCTTCTCCATGCATATGCATGGTACCTCAATGATAAAGTTATGATAATATTCCCTCCAACAGACACAGGGATGAGATTACAGAAGAGAAGATAGGGCAGGCCAGGGTCTTCATACTGGGAGGACCCAGGGAAAAGTTCACCGCGGCCGAGTTTGACAGTATCAAGAGATATATTGAGTCAGGGGGCAGTGTTCTGGTCATGATGGGGGAGGGCGGAGAGACCAAGACAGACACCAACATCAACTTCTTGTTGGAAGATTATGGCATCATGGTCAACAATGGTAAGTATCAATAAACATTTGTTATTCTGATTGATTATCAAGTTGTTCTCAGACGATAAATCTGGCATGAAGCTAAGAAAGCTAAAATTTTGCTGTAACTATCTTGTGACTTTTAACTCACAACAAACTGACTAGCAATGGCATCAATGAAGGGGGAGAAGCTAAAACATGCTGCTGTCTCTGAAGGAAAGTTTTATTTGATATATTATACCTACTTTTAAATGGAACAGCCCTGTTTTGTTTTGTTTGTATAAAGTTGTGTTTTGACAGCAAAGGATAGCTGTGTTTATTTATATTTGTAGATGCTGTGGTGAGAAATCACTACTACAAGTACCATCATCCAAAGGAGGCCTTGATATCAAATGGAGTCCTCAACAGGTAAAACTGCATACAATAGGTACCATTGAATTTGAAGCTCCTGAATTCCCCTGTGTTAACTTGAAAAAGCTACAGGTGTCACTACAATTTCAACATGTCACCCTGTACCATATATCTAAAATAGTATTATGGCTTTTAATTTCAGAGAGATCAGTCGAGCAGCAGGGAAGGCAGTGCCTGGATCAGGGGGAGAAGACTCCAATGTATCACAGTAAGTATTGTCATATATATGTACTTCTCTTATACTACCTATAGAAATGATGTTTTGTTATAAACCTACTTCTACCAGCTGCCTATATATGTGGTTGCTGACTGTAGTTGCTGTTTGTAGCTGTGGACTATGTTGGAGTTCCTAGAATTGACACTTGTAAAACAAAACAGCTACCGTGGCATAAGTTTTTTTAGTTTGTTGACTTTTGCTTTGCATGTTTCAGGGGTTTAACGTTTGTGTACCCGTACGGAGCGACCCTGAATGTTGCTAAACCAGCAGTGCCAGCCCTGTCCACAGGAACAGTCTGTTTCCCACTCAACAGACCCATCCTGGCACTGCATCAGTCCAAGGTAAGGTTTGGAAGGAGGAGAAGTTTTCTAGCTATTCCTGCTTAAATTTACTATATGTGATGTAGCAAAAAAACAGAATTTTAATCTAGAAGGAAAAACATATTAGAAAGAATTTTAGATTGTACTATCGCCTCATGAAGTGTCCTATCATGCATTCTTAAGCACTCAACATGTGTCTTTCTTTTGCAGTACTCGAGAGGAAAGCTTGCAGTGGTGGGCTCAGTACACATGTTCAGTGATCAGTATATTGACAAAGAAGAAAACAGTAAGATACAGGTAAGTAGATCCATTCCTTTTGGACATAATTGTGGTGATTTTAACAATGCCTTGTTTGTCATCCATAATCATGCATGGTCAGCTGATGAGCTTTGTTTTAATGTGAAATAAATTAATGGCATATTAAGTCAATGTTAGAAATATTAGAAAACAAATACACAAGCAAGAACTCAACAGTCTAAAACTTCTTTTTCAACCTGTGGAATCAGGACAAATAAAAAATATGTACAAGTCCCATGGAATATCATGCTTACTCAGATTCAAGCTGGTAGGATCTATGATCATACTAGTATAAAAAACTTCTGTACATGAATGTACCAGGCAGCCCCAACAATGACTCTCGTAACTGTAAACTTGTAAATGTTCTCTCAGGATGTGTTGTTCCAATGGCTCACCACAGACAACATCAAGCTGAATGCCATTGATGCTGAGGACCCAGAGGTAAGTTCTCATGTTAATGTTTTTTATGTACTCTTACCAGGCTGGCATGTTTTTTCCTAACCATTATGATGTTAAAGTGATGAATAGAATACTAGTATACATGTACATTGTATATATTCACTCTAGACAAGTCTGGGGAAATCATATTTGGTGTACATTGGAACAACTTCTAGGACATTGCAGTATGCCATGATAATACAATGTGTTTGTCATATGTAGTGAACTGTATATCCTACCCATGTCCCACAGGTTGCAGATTACAACATGTTACCTGACACGGCCAGACTGTCAGAGAGGCTGAGAGTCTGTCTGCAGGAGAGTGAAGAGGTGGGTGTGTTCTACTGTAATAACTTGAAACTTTCTTAGTGTAAATGTTGTCCCCTGATGTGTTGATCATGTTATGATGTTAAAACACTCATGTTATTAGTGCTGTTGGAGCTTTACATATTCTTATGCACGATTTTAAAAAGTTAATAGATCTCATTGATTGACTTTGGGTTAGAATACAGGAAAATGTATCTTTTCTGTGTTACAATGTAAGTAAATTCATTGTATGTTACTTTCTTGCCAACAGATCCCACGTGACTTCACCCAACTGTTTGATGCTGGGATATACAAGCTGGACACCAGTGTCGTTCCAAAAGTCATCAAGTAAGTAGCCAGGCTGTCTTTAGCATTATGATACAAGAGTTTTGGCCCTTTTTCATTGTTTGCAAAACTTCTAAACTTTGTGTACCACACTGGTTTTGTATAATACAATGTACAAACTGTACATGCACATGTATAAGACCAGACTAAGTTTTTGGTACTTTATTTTTCAGGGCTTATGAGACGTTGAATGTGAAACACGAGCCTTTAACTCTCATCACCCCCCAGTTTGAGACCCCCCTCCCTCCACTGCAACCTGCGGTAAGTACAACAATGTAGGGCTCAACAGTTTATAATTACTTCACTACTACTATTACAATTACTGTACTACACTGTTTCATACTTCTGTCAATGAAAATCACCCGCTAGGCACCATCTTTTTCTGACACATTTTTGGCAACACCACAGGGGTGTATCCTTATACTCAAATCAGGATGATGAATGTTGCATTTGTTGTTTACACAGGTTTTTCCACCAGCATTCCGGGAGCTGCCTGCCCCATCATTGGACCTGTTTGACCTGGATGAGGCTTTCTCTTCTGAGAAAGCCCGACTTGCCCAACTTACCAACAAATGTAGGTGTAACTTAAATTTGAGCTATTGACAGATATGTCTTTTGGCGTACGTAAGAAAATGTTTGCACGATGCAGAATGGGACTATTTTGTTTGAATGGTCATGGCCAACCTTGTTGCAACATTTTGCATGAGTGTTAGTACATGTAAATAATATTCTTAACCTTCTGCAGCAGGGACTATAATGGCATGGTAAAACCTTGTTTTTTTTCCAGGTACTGACGATGACCTGGAGTACTATGTGCGTGAATGTGGGGACATACTAGGAGTTAGTCCCAAGCTTCCCTTGGACAGCAGGGATGCCAAGCACATCCTGGAGCATGTCTTCACACAAGTCGTGGAGTTCAAGAAACTCAACCAGGTGGGTTGAAGGCTGCAATTTGTACAATTGAGCATTTTTTTTTTATTCTACTGGAAACTTAAAAGTGCTCTTCTGCTATTCTCTTCTTTGGGCTGTATATATATAATACTGGTTATTTGAGAGAGTCCAAACATTTGTAAATATCTGATAACACTTAAGCTATGATTCACTAAAATGCAAATAGGGACACCAACATGGCAGAGGGCACTGAAATGCAAATAGGGACACCAACATGGCAGAAGGCACTGAAATGGAAATAGGGACACCAACATGGCAGAAGGCACTGAAATGGAAATAGGGACACCAACATATTACCTGTCCAAAAGTGTATACTAGTTAATTTGATCCAGTGGTCACATTCAACTTACATATGTACCTCTGTTGTTCCATGTAGGATCATGACATGGATGTGGACACCAGGGCACATGGGCCGATGATGACAGACTAACCACAGATTTGCATGGTTCCAACATTCACAATTGGCAGAAACAACTATCGCAGTATCAGTGCACTAGTACTGTATGTAAGAAGTAAAACTGCTGTATAAAGCAAATCTAGATGTAAGATATTTTCAATTGTCAGCTGTATCTAAGCAAAGTTGGTTGCACTTCTTCTAAATTTGTAAAATATCCTAAGTTTTTTTTTCTTTGAAATGAAGAAACTACCTGCTAGATCTACATATACTAGTAGATGATGAAAATGTGATCACAATCTATGTGGCACATTGTGTTCACTGTACATTAAATGCAATGCAGTTTGTTCATTTTCTTTACTTTTGTTCATTTAGCATGCATTTATGTCTATCAAAGTTTTATATCACTGGACTTTGGAGTGGGGGTACTAAGATTTCCAACCTATTCATAAATGAAAGCTATGTATAATATTTTGTACTTAATTGCCCATTCATGGAACACCCTAAATTAGACAAAGATATTATTTGTAAGATTCTTCAAAACATTCGGCAAAATTTTCATTCCCAAAGATTTTGTCACTATCAAAGTCACCTTCATTTACATGTATATCTGCCATTATATATGTATTCAATTAATTTACTGCATTTGGTGTGACAGCTTTGTGTAAGGTAGAAGTTTCTTAGTTTATTCAAAATTACACTTGTACTGCTAACTGATCTGGGAAGTTCTCATCCATTATGTTAGCAGCTTTTCTGCTATACGGTGGCTCAGAAAATGTGTAAATGAAATATGTTGTATAAACTGTGTGTAAAGCTATTGTAGGTAGTAAAGAATTAAACATTTAGCTTTAAAACACTTTCATTGCAGTTTTTTTTTCTTGACCATGAAAATGAAATTCACCCAAAGTGATATAGTTTATACCTACCCCAGTATACCATTTAAGACATGTACAATGTATAAAGACACACCCATGCCCTTTTTCATGCTTTCTCTTTATTTTTGTTGAAGTTACAGTGATGGGATAGCAAAGCTTTAGCTCAAAAGACCAAGGTGGAATGCCACTAAATGCCACCATGATAGCATTAATGTAGCTGGGCAACACTAACCATACCAGGATACAAATATTTGATACAAATCTTTTTGCCAATTCAACAAAGTACAAGATGTTAAAACTTGGCCTTAAACCCAAAAACTGAAACAGTAACAGCGCAGACTACATATACAATGTAGTTTTAACAACCTGTCATCTTTCTGCAATTGAGAAATTTCCTATACCACACCATGCAAGAGTTACATATCTGTACCTTTTAGTCCAGATTTACAAAGATGTACAATATACTTGGGAATTATATTGATAATGTGGGACCATCTTATTTCCTATAACAACCTGTCGTCACATATGTTCATTCAAATGTGTGTAAAAACAGTCCAAGTGCTTTATAGACAAGAACTATGACAAATAACAGATCTACAGTGCATATTGGATGACAATGGTGTTGAACACGTCAGACTTTGGGTTTGCCGACATGGTTGAACAGTCTGTCTTTGATGACTTGTGACATCAACCCATGGATGGACTCGATGGTGGTCTTGCAGCTGGAAAAACAACAGAGCAACAACACAACTTTTGAGACACTGCGTATAATTTCAAAAGAACACAATTGAATTTGAAGTACACATGTATACACGTGTACATACATCAGAATAATATAGTAATACATGTATAAAGAGTTCTTACTCTGTGGTGGTGGTGATTATTGAGGTATGCAAGAACAATAACAAAACATCACAAACATTTTCTTACTTTTCAGCAATGGAACTGTAATGGAGCAAATATAGGCTAATTCTATTAAAAAAATTAGCCTATATACCATAAAACAATGTCCCCAACAAATTAGCCTATATACCATAAAAATCAGCCTATACACCATAAAACAATGCAAAACCAAAATGTAGAAATATAAAACAAAAATGTAGAAATACAAAACAAAAACTGAAATGTAAATATTTGAAGGACATACAGCCAATCTCTCATTGGTTGGTTGCTAATTTTGATGGAAAGCCAGGATTGGTCCATTCTAAGCAGGGCACAAGACCCCCTAGGTACCTGTCTCTTGTAGCCTTGGCCAGTTTGTCCTCAGACTTCTTGTCATGATGATCCACTCCCAACATGAAGCCACCTCTACCCAGCTGGGCTTCAGACTGCTCTAACTTCTCTGACAGGTCAAAAACTTGCCCTGTGGTGTAGTCTGCATTCTGAAAGAACAGAAAAAAATACTGTAGATCCATTATAGTTCATGAACCTTAAATCCATGCAAAATCTATGATTTTGTGGTAGAAACAATGAAAGAGAGGACATCTTTGTGGTGTGGTAAGTTAGCAGTGAGAGGTCACCAGACAACTGCAACACCCACCAACATAGAAATACTAGTAGCTAATTATAATGTTTCAGGATAATTACTGTAACAATATTTCGTACAAAAATGGAATCCTTTGCTAGTCAATGACTGACCAGTGACCAGATTGAAATTGAGATGTTCTCATAATCTTGTTACAATGTGCTGAACATAACATGGGAGGGACACGTAAAAGTAACATCAAAATATTTCAATGCATGTACACACTTGTCCGGAAGGCAGAGTTTGTGAGATACACTGTATTTCCATTCTGATTACTTACAGTTATAAGTGATGAGGAGCTCAGTGTATTGACCCAATACTTGTTCCACAATAGTTCCAACAACCTCCGGTCCAGGGCTGACTTGAAGTAGGTCACTTCTAAGGAGTAGTACCTAGAAATAGAAGAGAAGGTGAGTTGAGGATTCAAGGCATCAGAGAGGTCACAAATATGATTCCTAGCATGCCTGGCTACACATCTCCTTTACAATGACTTTCCTCACTCAACCCAGGTGTAAATAGGCACACAACTTAAATTGGGGACATTAAAGTTGATGGAAGCAGAGGGACAGGCTTTCAATACCATGCCCAAGACGCTTCTGTCCCCATGGCCTCAAAAGGCTATTGGACTATTATTTTTATCTGTGACTAGAATTGTTTCTGAGTAGATAAAGCCGTACTATTATGCTTGTCTACTTACTGCTTGCAGTGGACACCGAAGTCTTCTATCTTGTTCAGAGGAATAGTCTGATACTCAGAGGGACCTTCATCTGGTGGCTTGTATCCCTACATGAGAGGTAAAGGCACACAATGTGATGAACGTGTTGAAATTTATGTCAGTCCTCAGCAGCAAACTGCCATTGTGGCATTGAAGGATGGACGTTTAGACAGCCCTGGTCCATAATAATAAATATAGAACAAACTGTACACAAACTCACCTTGGGGTAAGTCCTGAATGAACCCAAGCACACTTTTCCTGCTGATATTGTTCTTGTTGGATCAATCTGGAAGGGAATGGTACACAGGAGAAATCAATGCCAGTCTCAAATCTATAACCAGGGCAAAGCTATATATAATAATTATCAAACTACTGAAAAAAATGAGTCAATGCCATTGGAAAAAAATTAGATTGACAGCAGAATTAATTGGGTTACTGCAGAGACAAAAATAACTTACTACAATAGCCACAAAAGGCTCCTGGAACTGTTGGTTCAACATCTGAGTGCCCACATCGATCCCAGACAGCCAGCAGCCGTACCCAGGGTGGCTGTGGTACCAGCCTATAGCATTCTCCAGTCTCCCTACCTACACATCAACAAACAGGGATGACATTAACTCTCATGATGACAGCAACATTGGCCTTTTCATAGATCCTGTTTGCATACTGGGAGACACAGAACACTATGGATAAATCTTGGTAGAGAGAAAAATAAGGTTTTGTACCTAAAGTAAAGCCACACTATTTTGATTTGTAGGTTCTCAGATTTTTTTTAAAACGTGACGCGATAGGGTGAAAAAAATAGCCCCAGACATGCTATGTTATAATAGGAGCCATGAAGTCAGCAAATACCAGACTGGTTTGTAATTCAAACAACAAACTTTCAATCAAACCAGTGCATTGGTTGATGGAAAAACTCTGAACAGAAGGGACTTCCTTCAACTGTTGGGGCCATAATATGAGCATTTTGGAGTTGACTCATGAGGCTGAATTGTTGTTGCTTTTTGCAAATCAGAAAAAAATAACGTGGGCTAATCTGTGAACCATAAATTAAATTGGATTGGCCTAAGAGAAGAATGTGGAATTGATTCACAGATCTGACCAAACTATTTACAGACGTACAACAAGTATTTTCACCTGTTTGGCACTCTCGATGTAGGCTGCCATGTACTCGTACGCTGCTGCCTGTGCGTTAACTCTGGTCTCTGTACCCTCCACTGGCAGGGCAAAACAGTCCATGACTATCATAGTCTCCCCATCAACTTTACCCAGCATCAAACCCATCACCTGGAACAAAAAAACACATCATATCATATCACAATTCACAACAAATATCTTAATATATGTGTTCAAAGGAAACTTACCAATCCAAAGGCGAGGCATCTTTTTCATACTCCATTTTTTTTACGTTTAATACTTTAAATAGGTATCATAAGGAAGTATTGCTTTGGGTGGCTGAGTTGCCTGTTTGTGTGTCTGTCTGGACTGGCTAGCTGACAGTACATGGGTTGGGGAAGATTAAAGTCAAAACTTCTGACAGAAGAATTATGAGGTGAAGGTGATGGTTTCAGAATCTGGCCAGGAGCCAACAGGAATCAGTGGTTGGGGTCGGGAATTCAGGAAGCTGGGGGTTGCATATGCTTCATATGCTTCCAAGAAGTCGGGAAATCTCTAAAAGGCTTCTAGTTCTACATGTGACGGTTGTGACCTGATGAATCCTTTTGTGACATACCTCCAAGTTCCCACCGGAGCGGGCATGCATCACCATCTTCAGCAGTGCCAGAGCTGAAATCTTGCAGTATTTAAAGTAGTGGTTGCTGCGGACAGAACAACAAAACAGGTACTTAATTGATGGTGAGTACATTACACTATTTATAGTATCATAACAAATCATTTGATATAAACAATAAAGAGGTTGCAAACACATCCAGAATCAAGGTGACGAAAATTAAATATTTCTTTGGGAAAAGGGCATTTACAAAAATATCTGTAAATACATTGTTGTAAGATTCATGGAACCAATTATTACTGTAAATCCTGATTTTTTTCCACAGTGATTTTATACTTGCAGTTTTCGCGGTCACTTCTCTACAACAAAATCATAATTACCGCAAACAAATAATTTGCCGACTTTCTTTCTTCTGCACCTGCCGCCACCGCGAAAATGTCCATTTTTCTAATACCGCGAAATTTTATTGCCGCGAATATGAAGTGATTTACAGTATGTTGCATAATTTCAAAAGGTTGACGGATACCACAGAATCTGCTACTTTATATATTTCATCCAGTTCAACATGCACAGCTTTGAGCGTTTCTTTATTCTAATTTCATCTGAACAATCTACTTTTAGCAAAACTTTCATACTTACTCCCTAGTCCATGGTTTTGCTGCCAGAATCTCCTGTTGTTGCCGCTTGTCGTACTTGTAAATCTCGTCCACGCTACTCACGGTTTCCATTTGATTGGCTAGCTCCCAAGTCTTCTGTGCCATCTTCGCATCCATCTTGGGGTCCTTTTGTACACACAGGGTGATTTTAGAAGTCAAATTCTGTGTGTCGAGCGATTTTTTGTCACAAATTCTGAGCAAAATTTGTTCGGCAGAAAATTTTGGGATCTAAGCCGCCATTTTGGACGTAGGATGCCGGGAATGGTCACGTGAGGTCCAACATGGCGACAGTGGGACAGAGTTGGTGACTCCGACACTCCAACATGACAAAATCAACCTCTAGCTCCGTAGTCTTTTCATAATTCCCACCACTCTTGTCGATTTAAGATGCACAAGGGGAAGAAGACCAAGACGATGTTTCTTATCCGCGCCCTGGAGAAGATCCTTAGCGACAGGGAGATCAAAAAGTCGCACCACTCGCAGCTGAAGAAGGCTTGCGAGGTGGCACTAGGTAAGTGGGATGGGCCGGTGGGCTTACCTTCACCTGGCTGACGTGGTGCACTTTCTAATTAATCTAATTAGCACGATTTGGTGTTTTTACTTTCAGGAATTCCGTATAGCATAAATAGCTCAGGATGTACAGAATAAAACGTGTAACCTAAGGCAGGATAATCAGTTGAAATACTAACCTAATATACAGCGAGAATGATTTAATTTTACGATCAACGTTGATAAATTGCACGGAAGTATAAGGTGGCTCATTCCTTTATCCGTGCTCAAGACTGGTTCCCTTTAAGTTTCTTTAACGGTTCTTGAACGATTACTTGCCACAAACGTAAAGGTATCCTACCACACGTGACAGTAGGACAGACACCTACTAGAATAAACATACACTTTTATTTACATTACGGCATGAGCAAACCAACATTGAGTCATCATTCATGTAAGCCACTGACTCAGACAACTTTGTGATTCCAATGAGGTTTCCGTAATTCCAATGCCCCTTTTTTCAAACGGCGTAGTAAAGTACAAGGACCGTCATTCATTTTTGGTCCTTTTGCTAAATTTATAAATCCACGTAATATGTCTGAGCAAAATGTATCATGAACGACCATATGATATTGCTGTTAATGTCTCTTTATAAATGTTAGTAAATATGTAAAGATTAAAACCAATAGTGTAAAGAGAAACAAAAATGCAATGGTTATACTCTTATCGTACCTGTCATTAACTTCTACTTCAGTCTCGAACGGAAAGCTGAAATATATTATATGGCAAAATGCCTGTATGGTATATTTCAGTTTATTCTGTACTTCTTTGGAACCAAGAATAGCTGTGTTTTAATCCCCTAATATTTACATTTAAGACAAGAAAGAATAGCCAGGTAACTCAAGTCATAGGATTGTTTTTACAGGTGGCATGTCAAAATGTTGGCTGCACTACTCCAGATGGATCTACTAGTATTTATTTTTCATCTGAGCAGTATTGTTATGGCAATAATATATGTATAGTTTATTTCAATAAGGGAATTATGCTCCATTCTGATCATTATTGAAAGTTACACAATGTGATTCCCTCATTATGTAGATGTAAACTTATCATTATGAGACATGTGGTAAGGCATGAAAATAGCAACCAGAAGCACTCTTTGCATATTTAATGTAATTTTGTCCTGTGGGCCAATCTGTCTATTTTTGAACCGAGAGAATATGCAGTGTGCTTATTATTGAAGGAGGTTGGTTGTTAGTAGTCTGTATAACTTATAACACATAACTCTTGTTGTCTGTAACAGTCCCTTCCCCACAGAATTGGTATTTTTTTAAAAAATGAATAACAGTAGGCATAGACCTCCATCTTGGTTGAAATGTTCTCAACAAAATGTTCCCACCAACCAAAGGCCAATGTATTAGGAATAACTATGGAAATCCATGTGAAACAGAAAAATAGAACAGTCATGACAGAACAACCCATGGCAACTGTAAGCTAGAAATCTGGAACAATGAAATATCAGTTGATAACATTAGCCAACTTAAATAGGATGGTCAGATTCTCCAGGCTTACAAAATGTACACATACAGGTAACGTTACACATATCCTCCATAAGGTGTCTAGAGGACCTATTGTTTTCCAGGGCTGCTAGAGGCATAATCCAATCAGGCTAGGAAAATCCAGGCATGACAGCACTTACCCATGAATGTGTGGTCAATTTCACAGGATAAGTTGTCTGCAAGGTCATCAATGGAGAAACATAATTGTTGACCTTTTCGATGAAACCTCCGTGAAATATCAAGTTGGCTAGCTTAGCCTAGCTGTATACATGTACATGTACATATGAAGTTAATAAATAAGTAAAATGTTAAGTTGTTGACAAGTAAACATATTCACAATGCAGTCCTGTATGTTGATGGATGGCAAAAGGACATGTAAGACTACTAAGTGCAGTCAAACAAAACATCATTTATCCATTCAAAAACACTTTGTCTACTATGAAAGACTATTAGTATTAGTCTAAATGCACTATTGAGTGTGAATGGGTGGTGACGTTTTCGTAATTTCACCCTGTACAGAAATAAGGCTTGGCTTGAAGCCAATGGTCTGTAAAAAACAAAATGAAACACGTCAAATTCAAAACATTCTGAGGTGAGAATAAGGAGGCATGCTGTAGACTAAACCTTTTTGAAACTTGTTCCATAGAAATAAATGTATTATTATATTTTTTATCTATCTATTGTATATCTATGTTTTTTATTGTTTTGCACTTGACGTTACTGGCCTCGGGTTTTCCATGAATTCAATATAAATTGGATTTATCATTCATGTGAACAGATCACTCAAATCATTTGAATAGATCACTTAAATCTATATGTCAGTTTATAAGGTAACTGGTCAAAAAACTGTCTTTTACATTTTACAGCTTAACAATGGGACAGTTTTATATTACAGAACGCCTTCTGCTTTTGCCATACGAATAATATTTTGTGTGTTCCCTAAAACTACGTAATTCAGCCTTTTATACAATGCATTGTATTGTTAGGCTGCAATGTTGTTTTAGTTTTATGTCAATTTGCAAATAAACCATGTACTAGTATATATTTTGCCAGTCATGCCATCAGTTTCTTTTTTTTTCAATTTCACATTGTTAGGCAGGTATGTTTTCTTCAGGTTATGTCACACAACAAAGCATGATTTTGCTTTTAACCAGTTGATTCATAAAACAAAGCAATAATCTCAGGTATAAATAGTTAACATTGATATCTTGACAAGTTGTGACATGTTTATAATTATATTTATTTATTTATTTCTGTTTTATTTATACAGGGTAGAGACCTCAGTGCTATTTAAAACACTGCTTTTCAGGAATATATAGTTTTTAGTATTAGAGTAGATAATAAAATATGTATTGCATATGGATAGTACTTTTGTGTACTCATAACAATTTCTTATTTTGCAGAGGAGATCAAGGGAGAAATGGACAATGATTCGTAAGTAAATGTGTTGTAATACCAGGTTTTGTCTAGAAAATAAATAGTTGAAATTCCCCTTTTCTGTCTCTTTTGCTTTGTATTAAGCAACTATGCCACTAGGAGCCATGGTTCAGTAATACTTAAGTTAACTGTAAACAAAACATTGTAGAATTTTTTTTCTGACTGGAGATATATTGTGTGATTTCCGATCAATTAGTCATTCAGTCATATGCATGCATGTCAAATATGGATCAGTTACCTAGGTTTGTAAGTCTGCTTAACCTTGAAGACTCAAAATCAACATTCAAACTGTGGCTTGGCATGATGTTTCAACCGGTAACTTAAATTGGAAATAAATTAGCATACACTGTATGTGAGTGGTGAGTGAGTATGCGTACAACACAGTATGGTATACTGTATAAATTATGTAGATTGACAGTGAGTGTTATCCATATAATTCTATCTGTAATTTTGAGTCATCAGTTCGGAATCTGTATCTATCCACAGCCCAGGAGAAATTATTGAGGACAACCCTTCCTCAGCCCTGCCCCTGCCCAAGTCCAAACAGAGGAGCATCGATGCTGACAAGTACTTCCTGCCGTTTGAGCTGGCCTGTCAGTCCAAGTGTCCCCGGATAGTGTGCACTGCCCTGGACTGTCTGCAGGTATGAACTCAGACTCAAGAGATTTTAATTTTTAGAATCCATCATCTATGCTTTAGACTAGTACTACTTCTGCCTGTTGTGTTATGTCATTGTATCATGTACAGCAGGGCTGGAAGGTGAATCATGGGTGACAGTCAGGCCTAGGAAAAAATGTTGTGTTTCCTGTTTTCCCAACCGACCCTAGAAAAAACTGCTGACCCTAGCCCTTTTTTGGATGGACCCCTGCAAGGGACATACATTTATTGAGCTGATCGACCACTTCTAGCTCCATGATGACTGATGAAACGTTGTACAATCAGTTTTCCAACATTATATTGACATTGAAAATATTAGTGTCCTCATGCAAGGTTTACTTTGTTAAACTGTATTGAATAAGTTGAATCACCACTCATTCACTAGAGATCACCAACGTCTAAAAAAAGAAAAAGAAAAAAAAAGAGAATCCCTACCTATAGCTACTGACCCTAATTTTTTCAGGACTGAAACAGGAAACACAACACTTTTCTTCCTAGACCTCAGGCTTCTGCATCTCTTCAAAATGACTGAAATCGACACATGCCTTCATCAAGTAAAAATGCTACTGTGACATATTTTTACGAGGATTGATTTGGATGTACTGCAATGTGCATGTTTTTTTCACAGAAACTCATGGCGTACGGCCACCTTGTCGGTGATGCACCAGACAGCACCACTCCGGGTAAAAAGCTGATTGACCGCATCATCGAGACAATCTGTGGCTGCTTCACGGGCACCACCACAGACGACGGGGTACAGCTACAAATCATCAAGGTTAGTTGATGGACTAAAAACTTGAGTTGTTAGTACGGAACAACTCAAGATTTTGTTGTTTTAGATTGGACCTTTTTTGCATATGGCTATGTGTGGGTTGAACTATTTTGCATTACCCGACAAATGTTCTATTCCCCAGGCCTTACTGACTGCTTAGACTAACACTTCTGAAGTCCTGGGATGGAGTGAAATATTTTGCATTAGCTGACAAATGTTGGCTAAAATCTAACGTGTCTGCACCATTCTGAAAAGTTCTGTACACTCTTCTATTCCCCAGGCCTTACTGACTGCTGTTACATCTAACACCTGTGAAGTCCATGAAGGCACGGTGCTTCAGGCTGTCAGGACCTGTTATAACATCTACCTGGCCAGCAAGAACCTCATCAACCAGACAACTGCCAACGCCACCCTCACACAGATGTTAAATGTCATCTTCTCAAGGATGGAGATACAAGCTGTGAGATATTCTGACACTTGTTTTACATTGTTTTGGACTTGTCTATATGTCTGTCTTTGTGTGTCTGTATTGTGTATGTGTGTATGTGTATGTGTGTTTCTCTGCAATGCCCGATACACACAATATAGCATTGCCATACATACCCAGAGCTTGCCTGTATGTCTGTCTATGTGTGCATGTGCGCATGTGTTTGTGTGTGGCATTGTTATGCATAGACTGCAAGGCTTGCAAAGCAGTATGGGTAGGGGGCAAATCCTGCCATCTCTGATTGCTCTGTTCCAAGTATTTAGTTCTTAAGAAAACAGATCAATGAAAGGCCGTGAGTTTACTGTCTTTTTGTTTGTCATTATTTTATTGGTAGGCTAAAGAACAGGCACTACAGCTTGAAAGAACATCTAGCCGAGCATCACTGACTAAAAGTGAAGGCAGTGAAGGAACCCCCGTCCCTACCCCACCACCCCACGGGCTGTCCAATGGTGAGGTGGTCACGGACATGGCCGACAACAAAGAAGATGGAACTCAGTCACAGAAGGAAGCCGGGGAAGACGTGGAGTCTTCACAGACAGAAGACTCGCAGGCGAGAACACAGGAAGAACAGGGGTCTGGTGACTCCAGCAGTGAGGGACAGAAGCAGGGAGAGGCAGCGACTGTGTCGGAAGAGCAGGGCTCAGACTTACCCGAGTCAGAACAGCACGACACGGAACAGCAGGCTGGGGAGACACAGCAAGTACAGCAGGAAGGGACACAGCAGGAACAGCAAGACACAGCTGTCCCCACAGGTCAGGATACAGCCATTGTATCGCTAACATTTGCAAGCATAATGCAAGATATTTCATCCCATCTCTCCTTTGTCTCATACAGGGGAGTGAAATGTAAAATGTACTTCAACCAGACAGATTTTCGGTATGAAACAGTACAGCCAGACTCTCCAAGCCTTACATTTTCCTTTCAAATGTAATAGTGTACTAGAATGCAATGTATTTTGTCATAGACTAAATAAAAGCTGTAGTACCACTTGGTTTTCAGTTTACATTCAGTAATGTTGTGATGTTATCCCTGGTTACAGAGCCAGTGTCAGGGGAACAGGAACAGACAGTAGAACATGTGGTGGCGTCTATCATCGATGACATGATATCTGCTGCAGTGGAAGGTTAGTGCATGTCCTTTATAAAGGTTGCTTATAGGCTACCTGTTTTGTACAAATCTTCCTTTTATGATAGAGACAAGCTGCCAAATGGAGAAAAAAGAATCATTGTGTAAATTAACATGTCATACTTAGAGATGACGATAGCCAGAATGATGTAAAAATTTAATGCATACCGGATCGTTGGTGAGTTAAAAGGCAGTGGAAGGAGAGGGATGGGCTTACAATTCCACACTCAAGAATCCACTACCCCTTCAGCTTCTAAAGACTATGTGACTGTAACATGTGCATGAATATGTCGGGGTTGTATGGTGTAAGAGCAGAGCATTTTGGCTCAGAACCAAGAGGTCCCGAGTTCAAATCCTGCCAAGCCACTGAGGCACTTAACACGACTTTCCTCACTAGTCATTTAAATTAAGTAAAAATGAGTATGCCAAAATGATTATCATGATTGTGGCCATCAAAGGAAAACCAAGTTTAATACAGTATTTCTTTTCCCCACAGCTCCGGAGGGCCAGGCGACAGACGAGACCCTGACCCCGGTGGACCCCACCGCCCCAGGGGATGACCCAGAGAACCAGGACTATAACCTGGAGACGCCGGAGGCCAGGGAGGCAGCCGCAGCTGCCAGATTCTCACATGTCTTACAGAAGGACGCTTTTCTGGTGTTCCGCTCCCTCTGTAAGCTGTCCATGAAGCCCCTGCCTGATGGACCTCCTGATCCAAAGTAAGTACTTCTACTGCTGATTTTGTTGTAAAAGTGTGTTGTCATTCCAGGAGAACAAGAAACAAAAATGCCTCCGCCCCTGAGGCGTCACCCCAAAAAATTTTTGTAAGAGATTCAGGTAGAGCTTAATGATATGCATATTTTTCTTTTTTCACTGAGATAGAGCAAACAAATCTTGGTTATCATTCTATACTTGTGTATTGTAGTACACATTTACAATGGATTTGTAGCATCAATGGTAACACACTTGCACAGGGGTTGAAGAATTGACACCATCCATAGAAAGGTTGCTCCTCAAAACTTGTTTTTTTTTCAATTGATTTATCTCTCTATCTATATACTGGCAACTGTAATATCAGTAATCTGGTTTGAAATCAATTGAAAATCAAATCAAATGGAGAATAATGTTATTGTAATACAATTAATTTCCTTTGGTACTGACTTAGTGAACTACATGTATTTGATATGGTAGAATATGTGACTAAAGGAATTGATATGCTAGAGCACAAGTGTTCCAAGTTGGGTTTACTATTCCTGTAACAGTAGACTGTTCAATCATGTTGTGTTTTTGTTTATTTATTTTTTCATCTTAAATAAATCCTGGGTGGCCCCTTCAACATTAATTGCTGATTTCCAGGAAGGCCCATGGAAACATAACAGTATAGCTGAAAATTAAACCAAAATAAATAACACAACACATCTAAGTGACTGAACAGAGGAGATTTACAAAACCAAAATGTCAAAACATAATCATAATCCATAATCATGTCCGATTTCCATTGCCTGTTTCCCAGGTCCCACAATCTGCAGTACAGTCCTTTCTATAACAGTGACTGTTCCATGTTGTGTTAAGTATTCCCATCACAAGTTCCATGTTGTTTTCCTGCAGGTCCCACGAGCTGCGGTCCAAGGTGCTGTCCCTGCAGCTGCTGCTGTCCATCCTGCAGAACGCTGGCCCGGTGTTCCGCACCAACGAGATGTTCATCAACGCCATCAAACAGTACCTGTGCGTCGCTCTGTCCAAGAACGGCGTGTCCCCGGTGCCCAAAGTGTTTGAGCTGTCCCTGGCCATCTTCCTCACTCTCCTGTCTCACTTCAAAACACATCTCAAGATGCAGATAGAGGTCAGTGCATGACTAAGATTACGCTACACCAATTTAATTGATTGAATTTCGGATTAAATCGAAATGCTCTAAATGGGAATGGGTTTCAAGGGTTCACAGAGTAAATACAATTGCATTTTTTTTTTTGGAGCCCTCTGTTTCGATGTTGACCTCTCATTGAATTTTACTCAGAAATGACATAGAAAAATGAAATAATTTGTTCTGGTCTTATTGAAATGTTACATCCTATGCCATCAAATGCCTCAAATTAAAAAAAAAAACTTCAATGTATTGATAGATAGATGTCTATATATTCTCCTTTTTAGCTTGATGCTTTGTCAAACTCAGTAACTGTTGTTTCTTTCTTCAGGTGTTTTTCAGGGAGATTTTCTTGAACATCTTGGAATCCTCTAGCTCAACGTTTGAGCACAAGTGGATGGTTATCCAGGCACTCACACGTATCTGTGCTGGTAGGTTGTTTCTTTACAACTTTTACAAATCGACTTAAAATACAGTAAATGCCTCCTTTTTTTCTCCTACAGATTGAAATTATGTCCCTGCAAAGTCTTATCAATTGACACCAATTTAACTTGTTGGTTCACAGATTCGCCCGCTTCATTTTTTTTACTGACTTGCAAAAAAAATTAAGCCTCTGAATCCTTACCTTTTGGTGTTGTCTGGTGTTCCAGATGCCCAGAGTGTTGTAGACATCTACCTGAACTATGACTGTGACCTGACGGCAGCCAACATCTTTGAGAGGCTGGTGAACGACCTGACCAGGATCGCTCAGGGCAGGGGCGCGGTCGAACTGGGGGCCACGCCCAACCAGATCCAATCTGTACGTCTGTTTCTTATATGTGGCTGTATAACATTAGAACATTCTCTTTCATGTCATGTAATATTGGAACAAACAGTCATTGATGTCATACAAAAATTCAGGTGTCTAGTGACTGAAAATGTTATTGTAGAGTCTTGTCGATACTTAGTAGTAAGTTATGTCATAGCCTCATGAAAAATCCACAAAAACATTGCAGAACAAATGTGAGCCAAGGAAGGGTTCATTCACTTATATCATACATGTATATTGTAGCTCAAGCCTTCCTTTACTATTATTATCAATAAGATTGACTGTTTACTTTCTAATTTTAAATTTATGTTGACAATGTGACTACTACTGTACAGTTATATGATTTTTTTAAATATTACACAATGAAAAAACAACAGAACAAACAATACATGTCATATGTCAACATGGATTAAGAATACATACAGTAGATCAACACAATTGGGGTTATTGTAATACTCATACACAGCTTATGTTTTGTTTCAGGAGAAGACCATGAGAATGAAAGGACTGGAGTGCCTTGTGTCTATACTGAAGTGTATGGTAGAGTGGAGTAAGGACCTGTATGTCAACCCCAATCTGCAGGCAAATCTAGGTAAGGCTCAGACCTTTACACAATGGCTGCATGACAGATAAAAGTGGCATGTTACACCTCTAGGCTGTTGAAGTGATGTGATACAGGTTTTCAATACATACTATGTAAATCACTTTATGTTGCAGTAGCAAAAGTTTGTGCAAAGATTGTTCCTGCGTTAGTTTATACCTTTCCTTTTGTATTATATTACTTAAGCATAGTATATTTTGTTTTATATGCCCGGGAGCATTGAAAATGCATAAACCCTGGGTTTAAAATGAATATTATAAAAAATGAATAAAATGAAATGAACTGTGAAAAATGGACATGTTCGAGGAACTATACGTTCACAGTGCCGGTATGTGTCGCAAGAGAACAATGTAGAAGAGTGTAGAAAGAATTATTTGTTCATGGCGATAATGTACAGAAATGACCGAAAAAAAACGTGAATATACAAGTACTGTGAAAAAGATCATGATTTACAGTATTATTTCGATCTTCAGGCCAGGAAGCATCCAAGGACGTGGACACAGACAGCGGACACGGCACCATGGCACGGCACGCCAGCGAAAACTCCCTCAACTCCTCCTCACCCAGCGTGGGATCCAGCGTGCACGACAATCCTGAACAGTTCGAGTCACTCAAACAACAGAAGGAAATCTGGGAACAAGGCATAGAACTGTAAGTGTTTAGAGCCAAGGTATTAAACTGTAAGTGTTTAGAGCCAAGGTATACTTTACTTCATGTTGACTCTAACACATACACATTAAGTCATTACAAGTAGTTCTAAGTCTGGATTTTTCTTACTTTCTTTTTTCAGATTTAACAAGAAACCAAAGAAAGGGCTGCAGTTTCTTCAGGAGCAAGGCTTGCTGGGTAAAAGTGCCTGGGATGTGGCTGATTTCTTCCACACTGATGAGAGATTGGACAAGGTAGGTGTTGTCTTTGTCTATGTAATGATGATAATTGTAAGATTGATACATGAATTTTAATTGCAAATATTTATATAAATTGTACAATGATAAAATATTCAGACATGTACATTACTGGCTGTGTGATCTTCTCTAAATCTGTGTTGCTAACACTGTTCACAGTTCTTTCCATGAGTCTTGTCTGGAACATGACTTTTTACGTTGGATTTGTTCTGTTTTTTTACAGACACAAATTGGAGATTTTCTAGGAGAAAATGAAAAGTAAGCAAATAGATTATTACCTACATTTAATGATAAGCAGCATATGGTAGTAAATATATACATTGCAACCACTTTTGCAGAGCTACAAGTAATTCCATAAAAGTCTTAGTAATTTCATACAATTCTTACAACTAGAGTAGTTGTGGTTCAAACATGTTTTGCCTACCTTGTAAGTGTGGTGATTGTTGTGGGAAAGTTTAGGTTATTAGATTGTTAGTACTGTAGATTGTGAAATGTGGGCATATATTTGTAGTGTTCACAGTGAGTGGGGCCTCCCAAAGAAACTCATCACAATGCAGACATGTGCTGCTATCAATTACGTTTCTGACGGGCTTTACAGTATCTTTGCTGCAAACTGTATAACAGTAAGTTACTGTATACAGTTTGCAGCAAAGATACTGTAAAGCCCACTTGATTTTCCCATGCAAAATTGCAGTACTTTAAACATAAATATATTTACCATACAGTGTCATTAAGAAAATGCACTTCCTGGCTAAGTGTGTTTTGGATTCCATCTGTATCAGGTTTAACATGGAGGTGATGTACACATACGTGGACCAGCTGGACTTCTCAGGCAGGGACATTGTGTCGGCCCTGAGGCTGTTTCTGGAGGGTTTCCGGCTCCCTGGTGAAGCACAGAAGATTGACAGGCTGATGGAGAAGTTTGCTGGCAGATACTGTGAAACAAACCCCAAGTACGTCCTCCAATAATACGCTTGTAGATAATTCTATTAGCAGTTGGCTTGAGGTGGAATGAATGATGTGAGGTGTACATTGTAGTAGATATTTGATGATATACCATGAATGCAAAAATGCCGAAATGATAATAATGTTGGAGTTGTAATTATGCTAGAAATTATGCTAAATAGTTCTCTGTAAAACTGATTTAACAATCATCTTCCCCTAAAAATTCTGTCACCGGCTTGCTTTATGTCAGACTGATTTTTATGTTTCCCATCTCCACAGTTTAGCCATATTTGCCAGTGCTGACACTGCCTATGTGTTGGCCTATTCCATCATCATGCTGACTACTGACCTCCACAGTGCACAGGTTAGTACATCTGGAACATTTTCTGTTGGTCATGTTGGAGTACGTGATAAAGAGCTTAGACATATAAACTGTGTTCCAATAACAGGAAAAAGAGCCACATTTTTTTGGCTGTTCTTTTTCTGGACATGTGGCCTTACATACTGCAGTCTTCATCAGTTGTGAATGTCAAATCTATTATGTAGAACATAGAACCTTACAAACATGTGGTATACTGCCCCCTCATCTCTCTTGAATAATGCCTTGATGTGTATGTGTAAACTTTTAAGGCTCTTATCTTTTAGATTATTTCTCTCTTTTATGTCGTATTTAAATTGTCTCATCAATACAGACAGTTTTAATTTTTCCGGTGTAAGACAAATGTTCAGCTGTCATAACGTTCCCTTACACACCAGGTCAAAAGGAAGATGACCAAAGAAGATTACATCAAGATCAACAGGGGCATCAACGACAGCAAGGACCTACCTGAAGAGTACCTGTCTGCTATTTATGACGAGATAGCTGGGAACAAAATTGCCATGAAAGAGCATGTCAGGGCCACAGGGCCCAAGCCTATGGCAGGTATGTTACATCAAAGTGTAGTTCTACTAGAATATTATACAGATTGAAAACCAGGTGTTCTATGTAGAGTTTTGCTGTTTTTGGCAACACCTATGTGGTGGAGCTGATTGGTGTATTTGGTACCATTGGGATGTAAGACTGTAAATACTTACAAAAAGACTAGGTGATTCAGCTCAACTAGATGACAATTGCTGCACTAGAACAGTTCTAAATGAAAAAGATCCATTCTAAAGCTGAGTTCATCCATTCATTAGACTAGGATACAGTAACTCATATTGCAGTGGTCCCTGAAATATTTGCAGCAGTTTTATGTCTATTTTCGCGATGAGCTTTCCACTTATTATACACGAACGTATGTTCTATCTTACATTGCATTACTATAGTTGTTTCAAACTTGAATTTCAAACTTGAAACACCTCCTTTTCCCACCTACTACAAAATTAAGCCCCTTTGAATTAAAGCCTTTTACATCACAATAGTCTATACTAATTATAGCATGGGTAAACTTAACTGAAGGCACAATGTAAACTTACTTATGATTTTTTGTTGTCCTACAGCAAAAGATGTACAAACTGAGAAACAACGTAAGCTACTGTACAATATGGAGATGGAGAACATGGAGAAAACTGCCAAGGCTCTGATGGAGAGTGTCAGCCACGTCCAAACCAACTTCACCTCCGCCACACATTTTGAACATGTCAGACCCATGTTCAAGGTCAGTCCATAGATGGAAAAGGACAGAGATTTTGATGATTTTGAACTTGCTGTGAATCAGTTTATGGTCGTGGTAGCAAAAGTTTGTAGTGACTGTCTTAGAGAAATGGACGAATTTGCAGAAATATGCATTTTGCAGTGGTGACAGGTGCAGAAAAAGAAAGTCAGTGAATTATTTGTTCACAATAATGAAAAGTTTGCGGTACAGAAGTAACCGCAAAAAAACACAAAAAATAAATTTAAAGTACAGCAAAAAAAATTGAGATTTTCAGTAACTTTCTTAATTTTTATACAAATGTATTTTGTCATAAATGTATCATAGTCTTAAATTAAATTGAATCCACTTGCTGTTTTAACATATACTGTATACGTGTACACTGTATTCTACTAGACTAGTAAACTCTTGAAAGAGCTAAGCCATGTGTGTGAGCTTCTAATGTGAAACGTGTTGTTCTCAGATGGTGTGGACCCCGTTCCTGGCAGCCTTCAGTGTAGGACTGCAGGACTGTGACGACACAGAAATAGCCAACCTCTGTCTGGACGGCATCAGATGTGCAATAAGGATCGCCTGTATCTTCAATATGGAGGTAGGCAGGGATAGCCATGTGTAGGGTCATTGACCTTGATAAGAGTTCAGGCAAGAGCGCCCCCTATGGTTTCCCTTTGGAAAAACATCACCATTAGCACAATGTAATGATATGAACTCTGAAAATGTTTGTGTAGGAAACATTATCTAACTCTCATAGTACATATTAAGCACAATCTTTTTGAATCATGAAATCGGCATATTGTGAGTCCATCTACTTGTTCCCTCTTTTTACTATCGCATTTTTTTTTTGGCAATGCCAAAGGGACGAAGGCATATTGTAAACCTTTAGGATGTTATAATCTGCTGTTGTCTTTTTTCCAGCTTGAGAGAGATGCGTACGTTCAAGCGCTTGCCAGGTTCACGTTGTTGACTGCGAATGCGGAGATTACGGAGATGAAGACCAAAAACATCAACACCATCAAAACCCTCATCACCGTGGCCCACACGGACGGGAACTACCTGGGCAAGTCCTGGTTAGAGGTGAGTCACGTCGGGATTCAAACTTTGACAAAATATGCCCAATCCAAGCCATAACCAGTGGCCATCTAGCACAATGTTGTACACATGTTGCATCCCAAAAAATTTTAAATAGTATATTCAAGAAACTTTCAAAATTCTTTATCCCATCCAACTAGCAGGGCTCTAGCCAGCACCCGTTTTTCCATCAATTGTAGGAACTTTGCGGCGTGTGATGGAAAAATTTTAAAACCAATCTGTCAACCTTCACAGACAAAATTGACAAAAATCTTGGGAAATAATATTAAAACATCCAAATAAGGGACCACCAACAATCACGCTTAACCCCATGATTTGCTTCTCAAAATGATAAAAAATCCTCAATTTGCCCCCCGTAGATTGCGAGCACTCTTCCCCTAGGTCCAATCATGAACCTGGGTTGACAAACAATTCATGTTGGCTACAGCTCTGCCCACTAGTCAAGATGTGAAATTATGACAGTGTAAGTTGCTTTTTCCATCTTCAATACCAGAACTGATTCAGAACCTTGCACACTGATATGATTAACTGATTGATACTAATTATTTTGCCCCAGATATTGAAATGCATCTCCCAGTTGGAGCTGGCTCAGCTGATAGGTACCGGAGTGAGACCCCGCTTCATCGGTGGGGGGAACAGCAAGGGACACCAGGACACGGTCGACTCACTGGAACCAGGTGGGGATTTCTAGTTTACAAAATATTGTAGAATATGATGTTTATCCCCTCCTATAAAATTACACTAAAGTAGGCGTTTGGCTGCCAATTCTATCTATCTTTTGGCTACAGGGTTAGGCAGCAGGGAGAAAGTTAATATGATTGCTTTACTAATTTATGTGTATTTCAAGAACAAACTACCCATGAATCTTAACAAACTTCTCAAAACTTCAAATATGTCATAAAGTATGAAAGTAAAACTTTCTCAAAACTTCAAGAATCTCATTAAGTATGAGATTTTTTAAATCATATTTTTCCTGTCAAGGGTAGAAATATGTTTGCCACTTTATATACTATGTTGTGATTGTTATGTTAAAGTATGTTCTAGTCACTGTCTGGTGAACATGAAAGTAATTGTGTTTTTTTTCCTGTGCCTTGTTTGATGATGCAGGGTTTCGGACGGCGGGGCTGGTGGATAAACAGAAGATGGCGTCATTCCAGGAGTCTATGGGAGAGACCAGCTCCCAGAGCGTGGTGGTCGCTGTGGACAGGATCTTTACTGGATCCACCAGACTAGACGGAAACGCTGTCGGTAAGGTTCAGGGTTTTATCCCGGAATAGTCGATTTTAGTTTAGGTAACTGTGGGATGGTCCATGAATGATCCATTTTTTCAGCGTTGTAGCTTTAGCAAAGTTCATTTTTGTACAAGTTGAATATAATACTATATATTATATATAGTCCATGTTTTCATGAGTGATTTTGCTGTTGTCCATTTTGGAGGAGAGGAGGTATAGGGAGAGAGACTGGTAGACTGCATTTGCTCACAAAATTGGCTTTCTACTAAGCTTGATGTTTTAAACTAGATTCACGTTGGCAATACATGTAAAATTGTTGTTGTGAGTAGGTTACACACGAACTGAGTATTTACATTGTGTATTACCAGACATTCTAGTAGATGTGATATGAAGGTATGAAGATTGACTGTACCATGTTTGTTTTGTACAGTACATTTTGTGACGGCCCTGTGCCTGGTGTCCACGGACGAGCTGTCATCGCCCACCCACCCCCGCATGTTCAGCCTGCAGAAGATCGTGGAGATCTCCTACTACAACATGGGCCGCATCAGGCTGCAGTGGTCCAGACTGTGGCAGGTCCTGGGAGAACACTTCAACAGGGTAAGGCAGCCTCTCACTAGACTTGTGTCTGCAGGGCTTGAAATACTGTGAATCACTTCCCAGTAGCAAAAGTTTGCGGTCTGAGAAAAATGGACATGTTTGCAGAACTATACGTTCACGATGGCGGCAGGTGCAGCAAAAAGAAAGTCGGTGAATTTTTCACAATAATGATAAGTACATGGTAAAGAAGTGACCTCAAAAACTGTGAGAAAAGCACGATTTAGAGTACTTTTTGGTGACTCCCTCACTGGCAGAGCCTCCTTCATGTCTGTTGCGAAACTACTAGTATGTTCTTTGGTAAGAATATGCCAAAACTTGAACTACTTTGAATGCTGCTATTTGATTAACTTGTAATTAGTTGTTCATAATTTTATTCTGTAAATTGCAGGTTATAGATAATTGTCCAAAAAGGTTGCATCTAACTTTGCTTTAAAATAACTATGATTATTATAGTAACTGTTTTAAAGTATAAAATTTTCTTGCCTGTACTTCCAGTGTGGATGCCATCAGAATGAGGATGTGTCGTTCTTCGCGGTGGACTCCCTTCGTCAGTTATCCATGAAGTTCCTGGAGAGAGGAGAGTTGCCCAACTTCCGTTTCCAGAAGGACTTCCTGCGTCCTTTCGAGTACATCATGAAGCGGAACAAGTCACCGACCATCCGAGACATGGTGGTGCGCTGTGTGGCACAGATGGTTAACTCACAGGTACTCTCTGACATATGCAGTAACATCTTTCTCACATTTCATTTCATTTAGGTTTTTGGTAGTGTTTTTAAAGCAGCCTTTAAGCACGCTGTTAGAAAAGGTATTTACCAAATATGCTCTTCTGTCCATAAAATGTTGTTCATAACAATACAAGAAGGTTATTGGTAAATTTTTGAAGAATTAGAAATTTTCAACATTGGCAGACATAAATGTCAATATTTACCTTTAGATAGCTTACAAAACAAATGAAGTTTGTTGATAAGAATTACGTGTAGATTGGTTATCAGTATAGAAATGTTGCAAAAGTTTTTTATTTCATTCTTCTCAGGCCCCCAACATCAAATCAGGTTGGAAGAACATCTTCTCTGTCTTCCACTTGGCCGCGGCGGATTCAGAGGAGGCCATCGTTGAGCTGGCCTTCCAGACCACGGGGAAGATCATCTCCAGCATCTTTGAACAGTATTTCTACGCTGTGATTGACTCCTTCCAGGACGCCGTGAAGTGTCTGTCGGAGTTTGCCTGCAACGCCGCCTTCCCAGACACAAGTATGGAGGCCATCCGGCTAATAAGGTATACTTTACATACATTTTTGGCGATGCCTCAGGAGTGGAGTGATTCTGTGTATTCTTGTATGTGTTATGGATTGCATATCCAGTAGACCAGGTAATGAAGGACTCTGTGATGTAAAATCAGGATTATTTACCAATAAGCTGGTTGCATTTCCAACAGATTTTTAATGAGAAAATGGCAAATCATCTAAATCTGACATCTCTTCTGCATAAAACACAACTATATGAATGCCTTTCACAAGTAGGGAGTATTGAGGTGAAATTTAAAAATGACATTTTTCTAGTATACCTAGTAGAAGTGCAATGTGGCCAAGCACATGCCAACTCTTCTGGAATACTGTCAAAAATAAGCCCCCTTCTCCTCCCTTGTGAATTGTAGGAGCTGTGCCAAGTACGTGGCGGACAGACCGCAGGCGTTCCGTGAACACGGCGGCGACTTGGAGCTCAACGTGTCAGAGGAGGACCGTGTGTGGGTGAAGGGCTGGTTCCCTGTGCTGTTTGAACTGTCCTGCGTCATCAACAGGTGTAAACTGGACGTCAGGACAAGGTGAGTGATGGAAAGCCATCAGGTCAGGAACACAAAACATTTTCAAAAACAAGAGCTTTGAAGAGAAACTAGCTGGATTGTGCTTATATCATTAAAGAATGTGCAATTTTGGTGCTGAATTGGGTGCTGGATTTGGCTGAAGAAAAGCCTGTTGAGTGATCACAAGGTTTCAAATCATCAACTTTTCCTTCTTTGGCGACGCTCTTCCCAAATTGTACGCAGTACCACCAATGATCACAAGGTGGCTGCCATCATATTTCAAAACATTACCATTCCTGTTTCAGAGCGCTGACAGTGATGTTTGAAGTGATGAAGACGTACGGCCACACGTTCCACCAGCACTGGTGGCAGGACCTCTTCAGGATTGTCTTCAGGATTTTTGACAACATGAAGCTGCCGGAACAACAGCCAGAGGTCAGGGTCATGATGTGAACCCTATGAAAAGTCACAACTATGTCCTTCCCTACAATATTGGATGTGCTTGATGTGCCACACAGTCACATACATTTTAGATATTTGTATGGCTTAGTATGGATATTTTAGAGCATTTATCAGGAAGTTTTAACAGTAGAGTACTGAAAAGTTGTGAAAAGTTCCTGCAAAAAAGGCAGGTATGTTCTGCAGTGTTATTCAAAACAACTTGAAAATCTGGCTGTATACTTCTTGAGATGTAATATAAACCTAGACAAAGTGCACATTATGAAGTATAGTATTTTAACATTGCATGTAAAGAAGGAATTGTTGATGACGATATACATGTATTGATAAGAAATGATCTAATAACAGCACCATGACTGGTTTGTTGTTTCAGAAAGCAGAATGGATGACGACCACCTGTAACCACGCCCTGTACGCCATCAGTGATGTGTTCACACAGTATTTTGACATCCTGTGTGACATTCTCCTGAGTGACCTGTTCTCTCAGCTACACTGGTGTGTGAAGCAAGGTCAGTATACAGATACTCTTTCTTTTTTACCTCCATGAAAAATGGAGGTATTGTTTTGGGTATGTCAGTGTGTGTGTTTGTGTGTGTCTGTGTTTGTGTCTGTGTTTGTGTTTCTGCATGGCCCTTTGGTCAAATTATAATGGTATGGGTTCAGTCTGTCCCTGAGGGAGAAAGTCATTAATCTCGTCTACATCTGGTAGCACTCACTGTTTTTACAGGTGTTTTTCATCACATGACCCCCTTGACAGCTGACAGCTGGTGTTGTTTCCCTTGCACGGAGAAGACCTGTAGACACCATAGTGAATGAGAAATCCTATGAGAGTCAGCAACCCTAACCACAATGCTCCCATGCTACCACTGTTGTGTTAAACCATAACATGCTCTGTTTCCTGCAGACAATGAACAGCTTGCCAGGTCTGGCACTAACTGCCTAGAGAACATGGTCATCTCCAATGGCAACAAGTTCACCCCTGAGACCTGGGACAAAACATGTAACCTCATGTTGGATATCTTCAAGACAACGATACCTCATGCGTAAGTGGAATTTCTTTCCTTAGAAAGTTCTAACATGATACTTTCATTCAAAAATAGTTTCATCCGATTGGTAGAACATAGGATATACTTATTTTCTTTATCACAACTAGGAAAGTCTTGCTTCTTGCTTACGTTTCGGTGTCTATCAGACACTTTCTCAGAGCTTCTGACTGTAGTACTGCTTCTTGCCGCTATATGTAGCCGATGTAGGTGGCGCTTTTGCAACAAGAACTCAATCCCAAACATGGCTGAGTTTGTACGCCCCTTGTAAGCAGGGTCAGGTTGTGAAAAAGAAAACTCCTAAGATGCTTTCATTTTGACTGGATATAGGGTAACATTATTGACATTACAACTTATTTGATGTTCCTAACTTTGACCTACAGGTTGTTGACCTGGAAACCCGGAGGTCCAGAGTCAGAGCCCCCCTCCCCCTCTACCACCAAGTCATTACAGGACAGCCAGGTAAAAAACCTTGGTCTAACTTTACAACGTTTTGGAAATATTAGGCTGTATGGAAAGTTGTGAAACTAATTCTAGCAATTGAATAATATTTTTTTATAGCCTGTACAATTTTACAAAGTTAATTGTACCTGATTGTGCAACTGCGAATGAACATAGTTTATTACGTATTCAACATAGTTACATGTTCATTGTTACATGTACATTTCTTCATAAAGTAAGTTGCACCTGTGCAACTAAATTTATCAAAATTTGAAACATTATTACACAATGTATTTAACAATATTATTATAATGTTAAATATATTGTTAAATACATTGTGTATGTTCAAATTACATGACATACATTTTCTTCATAAAGATCAAAATTTGGACATAATCAACATTGTTACTCGTACATTGTTCATTACAAAGTAAGTTTGCAACAAGGTTTGATGTTGTGTTTACATGTGTACCTGATTATTTTCCCAGATGGACACCCAGTCACAGAAGTCCCTCAGCATGCAGAGTTCGGTGGATGTAGGGGATCTTGGAAGCGAGGAGCGACGGGGTAGTCAGCAGAGTCTGACCAGCGTGGGCAGCGAAGGGTCGCGGGTTCAACAACGGGAGAGACGGCCTACGGGAGAGCGGCAAAGTTAGTGTAACATGCCTTGTCTGTCTTAATGTTGTATACTGTTAGAATGAGTGACTGTACACTATACTGTTACCCAGCCCTTGTCTCTACTATTTATCTCTGTACAGTCCCAAACAAATTGTTACAGTACCTGCACAGTATCAGAAACACCTGCACAGTCTTAATTTTACCTGCACAGCTGCAATTTTACCTGCACTAAGGTGCATATATGCACCCAGTATTTCGAGCCCTGTGTTAACTCTGTGATGTTTTGCACACAGGATCATCTGTTGACCACAAGTTGTTTGCTGGGCTGCTGATTAAATGCGTGGTGCAGCTGGAACTGATTCAGACCATCGACAACATCGTGTTTTTCCCCGCCACCAGTCGCAAGGAAGACGCAGCCAACATGGCAGCAGCACAGGTGAGTACAAAGTGTCCTCTGAGATTCTGGAAGAAATTATAGTACGCAGTTGTACATGTGGTGGTAAGTATGATTACTGTAAA